CAATGCAGCATTTACTTGAACAGACTTCAAACCGTCGTCAATGTAGAAGTCCTTACAAACGAAATCTGCGGTGCTAGCTCCAAATTCTTCTTCAAAATCATTGGCCGTAGACTTCAAAGCTAAATTTGCGCAGCCTGGGGACGAGGTGGCTCCAAACAAGTGTACAGTCATTCAGTACTCTTTTGGTTCTTTGGTTAGGTCACCATCTTCCCTCCAGAGAAAGCGCAACAAGTCTCTGAGTTCTTCACTCACTTTTACTTGGTGAAACATGGTTTCTATGTCACACATGAAAGCCATTGGCTCTTGTCGAAACCTGCAAAGCACTCCTGTCAAATTGTTTGTCAAGTTGGGGCCTTGAAGCAGGTGCTTGTTTAGCGATTCACTTTCGTACTCGGCAGCACAATCGAAAACTACACGAATCTTATTGGGCTTCTTAGGATGATAGACTCCGTGGTGTGGAATGTACCAAACGTTCGCTTGTTCTTGAACTTGACCATGGGATGCATGTTCCGATTCAGACATCTTTGGTACCCTCTCAGTGTATCCATTCTTTATCAATTTCTTCATAAATTCCAAGTAATCCGTGTAGTATTTCTGGCCGTTTCTACCCACGAACCTTCTTTTTAGCTGATTAAGTCTGCGAAGCGCTACTGTCTTGTTGTTTGGAAGCTCAATGGTTTCGTTCTTCAAGGGTAGTGGGAGCTCATGATGGCCATCATTGCAATGTTGAATTCCCTTTTCTGCTATTTGAATAAACTTTCTGTCTTCTTTGGATAGACCATGCTTCGATGTTTTTGTGTTCCAAGAAATTGAGCTCGAACATCTGATTAATTGCTGATGGGTTTATGACCTTCGTTTTTCCGTGGAGAATGAAACTCAACTGGTTAGAGCTGTCACTTGCTCCAGAAATAACCTCTCTTGTGAAGGTACGATGACAGGTGGAATCTAGGGCGTGGCCATCTCGAGGGTTGTCTGATGTGGCAACTGGTCCCATGATGCTCCAACCTAACAAGGTTCGAACAGTGTAAGGTTCTTCTCCTTTTCCCCAAATAACATCTGTTGATGTGATCGCTTTGGGGCAGTTGCAACCAATTAGCAGGCCAATATCTGTCTTCATCATATGGAGGAATTTTGCCTTGGATCCTTTTAAGGTGTGGCCAGTTGTTCATGGTTTTGGTCAACTTCGGTGCGTTTGTCAAGTTGCTTCTTTCAACTGCTATCCTCTGTCGACCAAGCATCGTGCTTAAATCTAAACTACTTTCAACACTCTTGATACCGAGTTCACGCTGTACTTGGGTGGTCACGAAGGTTGTGTCACTTGCATCGTCTAGGAGGGCGTAGACCTTGATTGCTTTGGCTGGGTTATCCTTGTGGAACAGAAGAACTTGGATGATTTGACAATTAGTGATTATGCTGGCAGACTCTGTAGCTGAGCTGTGCGTTACACTGATCAGGTTTGAGCTTGCAGATCCTGCAACTGGAGGTTTCTTGCTGAGTGGTTCATTCTTGTTAGATGGGTGCTGAGTTTCTTGTGACTTGCGGTCAGGCTGTGGACAAATCTCAGTGGATTTTGGTTTTACGCCATGCGATAAGGTGTGGTGACGTCTTCCACATTCTTTGCAAATGGATCTATTACGACATCCCGAAGACATGTGACCTGACTTGAAACAGCTGAAACCAAGAGCTTTACTGCAAATAAATTCACTGCGTTCATCTACTGAACTCTTGAGAAATTTGCTGCACTTGATGAGGGCGTGCTGACCGTTGCAAAGGGGGCAGGCCTGATCTGTTTGATCTGCAAATGGTTTTGTCAATGACGCAAGGTCACTGGGGTGTGGAGTGCCTGATGTCACAAGTGAATTGGCGCTCAAATCACTATCGTCCTTCTTCTTTGACTTGTTCTTCCATCCCCACTTCGTCTGAGTACCAGTCTTCTCACGTTCCGCTTTCAGAGCATCAGGTGAGAAGATGGGGTCATTTGCAAGTTCTGCTTCTTCTCTGACAAAGTTCATAAAGGTGCTAAATGTGATTATTTTCTTAGACTTGGTTTGCCTTTCATGAGCATGCCGGCACCATTTCACAGCAGAGTAAGAAGGAAGTTTGCTGCAAACAAGGCTGAGAGTTTCTGTCGAGTCAAGGTCCCCCATTGACTGTATCGTCTTCGTTGCTTCTTCACATTGTATGAGAAAATCAGAGAAGTCCTGGAGGCCACTGCTATGACCATCATTTATCTTTGGCCAGTTTCTTAGACTAGACTTGTAAGCCTCAGCTACATGGACGGGATTCCCGAAACGCTGGTCTAACATCTTCCGAGCTTTATCGTAGGCACTGTCAGAGCTCATAGCCAGGAAACCTTTCACTATGTTGTTAGCCTTGCCTCTGGTGTACTTGTCAAGGAAATACAGCCGGTCTTTGTTTGATGGTACATTACTGCAAATGATGGAATCGAAGGTGGTCATGAAGGCTGGATATTCAAAGTAATCTCTGGAGAAGACCGGCAGCTCTTTAACCAGGAGGCTGCTAATCTTCTGCTGATTGATAATTAATGAGCTCAATTCGGCCTGCTTCACTTGTAGGCTGACGATTTTTTTGAAGAGTGGTATTAATGCCATTCTCTTGAAATTGGGGCGTGAACACAGGATTTGCTTTCCAAGGCTCAAAGGGTGGCATTTGATAACTTCCCGGAACGAGTGGAGGAGCATATGGGTTAGCCTTAAAGCTTCTTTCTTGTTTAATGTTCTCGTCACTTATGTCTGGTTTTAACTCCTGTTCAACCACGGGATTAACGTCTTTGACACTTGACTCTTCTTTATTGCCCGCTAATCTTTCTTCATCTAGGATTTGCTTTATTGCTACTTTTTCTGCACTTGCAATAGCTATCTCTTTCTCAAGGTGCAGCCGCCTCAATTCTCTCTCTGTGTCGAGAAATTCCATTTCGGCCTGTAACTTTGCAACCTTGGATGTGGCATCGAGTAGCACAAAGGAAAGATGTTTTGTAGAGGACATACTAAATTTAGACTTTCCAGACGCCTTTGATTTCACTCTATGATCAGATTTGACAGATCTCACTGACTGTGCCCGACCGAGGTTTCTTTCAAGTGATTGCATACGTTCACAAAGTCTAACTCTGCACTCAATAAATTCCCGATTGCGAATATCAAACCGTCGATATGAATCTTCCTTTTCTTTTTCGGACTGCATTAGATCATTGTGCTCCTTGAATGTGGTATTGAATTTGTCTTTCAAGTTATCCAATTTGAATCTCTCTTCTTCTAATTGTTCTATTGTTGTCTTGGGTAAATTATGCAGCACATTAATCTTATCCATCTGTTGTTTTAATATTTTGAAGGCAGAGTTCCGATTAGAAAGTTTTGTTTCCAGCTGATAAGCCAAACCCTTTTTGGTCATTACTCTTCTTCATCCAGTTGTTTTGGAGAATTTGAATCGTGAAAGTTCTACGCCTGCCACACCCCTGGGTGGCTTTGGTATTTGAGGTGTTGCCTCAAAGTCCAACTCTGATGGTGTCCTAATATGTCCGAGGACCGGTTCGCTAAAAAAACTAATTGTTCCTTTGCCAAGAAACAAAGTACCAAAGGATTGAGACGAAGTTTAAATAGAATTCAAAACCATTTGGTGGAATGAAACAAGGATATTTTACCATGACGCTTGTGACGAAAGACGAAACTTCGAGGGGTGTCGCTAAGGCGTGTTTGCTAAGTGTTGCTGATGTTAGGACTATTTTACAGGTCATAGTAAAACCATGAAAACCAAGATGACGGCTAATGGTGCTTATTCAGATCACGAAGACAAAGACGAAGACGATCACAAAGACGATCACGATTGTAAACTGAAATTTCAATAATATAACGAATGCATGAATCTACTTGAATTGGTGCGAAAGGCATGAAAGAAACGCTTTACTTGCCTATGTCAATAATGCAATTAAAATAACAACAATTAATGTAAATTAACATAAACAAATCATAAAAGGCTAAATTAAAACTACTTGAGATTCAAAGATCAGCTACACGACGAACATTTGCGGCTGATTAACAGCCCAAAAACCTAAAATGTGGGCATTGCTGTCTGAGCATCTAGTTCTTTCAAATTACTCTATTGATTTCAAGGTGATTAGTTGTACTATTGTACAACACAGTACAAATGTACACTATCGCCCAAGGTGAAAAACTAAACTGAAACACATGGAAATAAAACTAACAAAATTGCTTACATATCGGTCCCGCTGGTGCCAAAGGTTTAGAATGAAAGAATGAAGGTACTGCTATTCAAGGCAAAATCTTGCAAAACTCTGGCTTAAAGGGACGCTAACTTAGCTTTTATATGCGCGTGGTGACGCTAAAAGATCCGATTACAAACCAAAGGAAAAGATAAACATTGTAACTATGATCATAACTAGGCACACAAAGTAATTGATAATTGATCTAATCAAAAAACTGTTCTTTTGTTCGATATCCTTAACAGTAAACCTTAAATTCCATTATGTTCCAGTGTAGCTAGGGGAATGTTGTGGTCTACTGTATCAAAAGCTTTACTTAAGTCCAAAAATATCCCGCAAAAATATAATTTACTTTGAATGGTTCTTTGGATTTTATCAGTGATAAGCATAGAAGCCTGAATAGTGGAGTGTCTACTACGAAAACCAAATCGATTATCATCTAGTATATTATGTTTATTAAGAAAATTAACTAATCTATTAGACATTAGCTTCTCCATTATTTTATGGAAAACAGATAACAGAGTAATTGGTCTTTAATTGAATACTAAAGCCTGGTTACCACTTTTGTACAGAGGTATTACTCTCCCATGGTAACACAAGATGCTCTTCAATAATTTAAGAATTTTCAGTAAGATTCTATGTGACCCCAGTGTTTTATTCGCATTTAGGCTAGAAATAATATTCTCAACTTCTGTTAGTGATACTGGTGATTAATTAAAACTGTCACATTGTGAATTTGTTAAATATTCCACAAAGATTCTATTGCCAAGTTGAATGCCATTGGCTAGACTAAGGCAAAATATTTGTTGAATGCATTAACTGTATCTTTGGCATCAGTTAAGGTGTTACCATCAACTGTTTATTTATCTCAGAAGGACAATTTACTATGCTTAAAGCCAATAAGCTGCTTAGTACCCTTCCATGTGGCTTTTGCATTATTAACATGGTAAGTAAAGTATTCTCTATAATAGAGTTTTTACTAGCAATTAAAATATGCTTTAGTTTCTTCTTGAAATTTTATAGCGAGAGTGATTACTTTGAGACTTACTTTTTATGTAATGTTTTCTTAGCTTATTTTATGTTTTAATAGATATATTAATACCCTGAGTAATTTCAAGGTTTGGACTAAAATTTTGTTCCTCGTTTACTGAACTTTTTTAAAGGAGCATGTTTGTCTATTGTAGTATTGACTACAGAATAAAAGGAATCAAACATCTGATTGATGTCACTTTCCCCAAAAACATTATCCCACTGAATTGACTCAACATCTGCTAAAAAGTTATCCTGATCAAAGCAAGAATAATCACGTGCAAACCTGGTCATATCACTTGCTGTCCAAGATTTGTTGATAATTGAGAAATTTGTTAAATAATATGTAAGGTCACAAACCAAATTTCCACTTGTAGCAACAAATTTATTAGAGTTAAAGAAAATATGTGATCAGTGATTCTTGTAGGCTGCAGAATGTGTGGTAAGAAGCCATAAGAAATCACATTATTAATGAATTCCTGTTATCTAAGTCTTCAAAGTTCAGAAGATTTATGATATTAAAGTCACCCTTGAATAAACACAACTTCTTAGTTTTTGAAAGTTTCTCTAGAGTTGAGAAAAGATATTTGTTAAAGTCCTCAGTTTCACCACTTGGGTGTCTATATATGACAGTGCACAAAATATTTTTATATGGATCATGATTAATCTCAATCCATAGAGATTCAAACTCTTGTCGTTGAACAAAGATCATCTCAAATATGAAATTGAATCCCCTCTGATGAAGAACCACACATCAACAGCATTAGTTAGAGTTGACTTGGAGACAAAATCATATCCTTCAATAGCAATATTGCTAGTTAGATCACAGTTACTTTTTATCTTTGTTTCAGAAAGGCTAATAACATGAAATGATTGCTGTACACAATTATAGTAAGCTTCCTTCATGATCATAGCAATGTATCGGGTGATTCTAAAAACCAAATCTTTGTCACATGCACATCTTTCATAGAAGGTGATAACAGTGGTGATAACAGTAATGATGACAAGGATGATTCAGTTAACACTGACTCCCATTTGGGTTAAGAATCAAAGAGCTTGAAAATTTGTGAGAAAACAAGCCCCTGTTTATATCTGATTGATTGAATCTAATGCATTCATTGGCACATCAGAATAAAAAGAAATGGTGTTCTTTGATTCTCCTAATTGCTCTTTCCACATGAATACGAAGACTTGCAATTGTTTCAGTTTGCTGTACATTCTCTGATGAAAACTGAGCTTGACTCCATAGGAAAGGAGGTGTAAGAAACAGCACTTGGGTATTAAACGGAAATTTATTGTAAACAACTATATGTAGTCAAGCGACGTTCTACAACGTTTTAGGAACTCCAGCACACGGTTGTGCAATCACGCGTAAATGCATTTCATTGGCTGAATCAACAATATAACAGAAACTTGTGTGGTTAGATATCACATAGCAAGTCACGCAACTTGTCACATCTTCCCTTTTTCCAAAACATGTTAAAAGTACATCCACTGTCATTTATAGGTTCTTGACAAGTTCTCCTTGCAAAGTAACAAAGTCCTTAAGTCAGCCGGGCGGCCTCGTGTGCCGTTGTGGTCTCTGTGACTCGGTGGTTTCTCTTGGTACCGACAGGGGGCATTCTTCAGGTGGGGCAGTTCCGTTGGCTCCGACACTTCTGCATGTAAGGTTTTCTGGGTCAGCCATGTCCTCTGGCAATGTGGCCTCGTTTGATTCTCCTGTCTTGATTAGCTGCCTTCGATTTCTCCTGTAAACTGCATTACCTACTTGTACCCTGAAGCTCCTCGGGCCTGCGTTATCCAGGACTCCACGTTTTCTCACCGGGTAGTCTCATACGTACTGCATCCCCGACACTGATTGGCTCCAAGGGACTGGCTTTCTTGTTATAGTAGAACTGTTGCCGCTGCTTTGTACCAAGTAGTTTGCGAGTGTCTTCTTCTGTGGGAAAGTTGGGCTGCAATAGGGAGCCTGCGATGGGGAGCAGTGTCTTACAGCGGCGACCCATCAGATGTTGGGCAGGACTGGTTCCAATTCCAGCTGTGGGCATGTTGCGCCAGTCTAATAGTGCTTGAAACTCTGATGTTCCGGATGCCTTGCACTTTCTAAACAAGGTTTTGACGGTCTGCACTGCTTTCTCTGCCTTTCCATTAGACTGAGGATAGGTTGGCGATGTCTTGTGTTCGAACACCCAT